AAAACTAGTGGCCATATTAATTAGCTACTAGTTGACTACTTATAGTAAAACCAAAAATGCCAAAGGGGATTACTTTAATCACCTTCAAAGTAAAAGGACAAATATAAATGGAAAGGAGTTAATTCTATGTTAGACGTTGGAAGCGTACCAGCAACGTCAATGAAATAAATTGTTAGTTTTTGTGATGAACAATGTAATTCAGGAAGGATTATTACTTTGAAAACCTTGTATTTTATGTTTCCCTGAAAAATAGTCATACTAATACCAGGTCAATTACTGGTGCCTTTACCTTACCTTACCTACCCTAAATAAACAAATTTACTATTCACCATGGCATAAATGTTCTAGTGCAAAAGGTTGATCATTTTCTACTTTCAGCATCCCGCACCCTCATGGACGCTTTTCGCCGGTCCTGACTTTTTTTCACGAAAATCCGGTCGTTCTGAGACAAGAGGGATCAGCCTGCTGCTAAATCCGGTACGCTGACTGCGTGTTTCATCGGGCAGACCCGCACATCCGAAAGCGCAGCAATTTCTGTGGCGTGCTTTGAAAAATCTTGGATCGCTTAGGAGACGGTTGATTGTTGGACAAAGTGCTAGGGATCTGTAATATTATATTTCTGTCCGATGTCGATGCAGTGGAACATCTGTTTCCTTAGTCAAACCTTTGCTAATATAGATGTAAATTATTGTAAGTATAAATAATATATTAGTATAAAGTAAATTATATATAAATGTAAATTAGTGAATGCAATTCTTGAATGGATTTGTGTAGTTATTCATAATCAAGCTAATATATAGGTTTAGATAGGATAAGATCATTGCAACTTTTTTGTAATTTGTCTCGTTCTTCCAATTATTTCGGATAAGAAAAGGTTCCACTGTATCTGACTCATATATGCGTTGTTAATTTTGAAAGTGGACTAAGTCACATATCTTTAGTTCCTAGATATCTAAAAACAAATTTTCAATTACATTTAATTAAACAATATTTTTATACTATAACTATATATTGTTTTAATATATAGTTATATAATTTTAAAACATCATTTTTCAAAACCAAATATTTTCTGAAATATTCTTATTTATACAATATTTGGTCTTGAAGAACGAGAATTTATTATGACTGCGTAATATCATATGCAACTCATAAGGTAATATAATTGTTGATGCTTGAAGTGACTTAGACCATTCTCAAAATGAAGGGCACGTATATGTAGCGGTACGCAGAAAAAAAAACTGTCGACTCTGGAACACCATTGAAACGTGGCAAACCGTCTCCAAGAAGAATGGAGAATCTCGGGCCGCATTACGCAACGATATACCAACACAAGCACGATAATAATCGGCGCCTAATTTCGAGTTCCGTTGATAGCCGGCCATAGAAGTAATAACAGGGCATCGATTCCGGTGAATTAGCGTCGCACGAACGGCCCACGTTTTTAGAATCCAGCCAGCCAGAGGTCGATGCATTCTACATGGCTGCGTCGGATATGGAATTTCTCTGGATGGCGCAACGGTACAAGGATTCACCTTAGCAGCTTCGCATTCCCCCCTTTTCCTGCGTCTTTCTCTACGCTTAGGGCCACGACGCTACACGCACACACGCGTCGCCTGCGTGGAAGGTCCTCCCCACATACAAGTTGAACTTGCGACGATGCAAGCGATAGGTTTGAGTCTTTCAAGGTTTCACGATACGTGTTGCACTCAAACAAAAAATGAAAAAGGCTGAAACCCGTTGCTTGTAGCGATGCCTGCTTCGTCGCACGTTTCAACGTGTGCAGGACTCTCAGGCTGTATACACATAAGCGACACTTGGGGTAATAGAGAAACAAAGTCCTCCTGTTTCGTAGAAAAAGGATAACTTCAGGAGAACTTTACGTCTTTGTTCTTTCAAAATCGCACGGCGTCACCGCTGTGGCGTTGTTATAGGACCGTGTCGCTCGTGTGCATAACCTCTACCGTCGGGCACGCATGTGTACGCACGGAAACGCGCAGACGATTTTCTTTTCGGTCGGACCTCGCTATCGTCTGTGTTTATTGTGTCCTCTTCTTTCGCCGTACGGACTCGCCGAGATAAGGCAGACAGGGGAATCGGAAGCGTGTATTTTCGGACCTGGCCCTCTAATGTCACTTCGCGAGGCGATCCACAGGAAATGGCATTTATATAGTTGGACGGGAAGCTATCGACAAAACGTTTTATTAGTCTCGTTCTGTATTGATATTCGCGTCATGCGCCGCATCACGGAATCGTAAAGCGTATTCATTAATGCAGGGGATTGGGTAGAGAAAAAGAATTCTTGCTTCGCTAGTTTTGACTATCTAGCGTTGATACTGCTTCCGTTGTAATGTTAACGAGTGTACCTGCTAATTTTCAGAGTACTAGCCTCTGTTGCCAATGATTTTTAATTTATATCACTATATGTAAAAAGATTCGAATGTCTTGTTATTCAATTTAGTTCAAACCCATCAATTCTGATCAAATTGAATATTTTACTGTTATATAGAACTTTTTTTATTGTAGTTACTATATATTAGTATTGAACATTTTTTTAAACCATTTGGTAACCAGCAAATATATGTAGATAGATATTTATACAAAAACGAGATTTCTAAAAAATTGCTGCTTGATTTCCTATGGGCTTAAATTTTTGCTATAATATTGCATGAGTATCTTTTCTGTCTATGTTGTATTTGCCTGACTATGTGGTATTTCGTAGGGGGTGGAGAATTAAGCCAGCCAGCATAAGTCACATATTTGATTTGCGTGGCTTGGAGGGCCCCGGAACCCTGGGAAAAATTCGGAGGATTTTATAAGACGCAGGCGCAATCAGCGGTCGCATCGCAGGCCAGGGCGTGGTGGCAATTTTCGGGGACGCTCACAGACACGCGGGTTTTTCGTCCTCGATGCCTGGAGACGCGCAACTGATGGGCTCGAGATGGTTCAGATTTCCGTGTGAAAGCGTCTAAAATTTAGAACCTTGCCACTGGTACTGGTTGACCTAAAAATGGACTGGTTTGCAACTTGCCATAAAAATCCTATGAACTAAAATTTATGACTACATTCAAATTCCAAATATCTTTGCCATATAACGAATCCTATGTTTTTCAGAATATATCTCAAGCATTTAGGAATAGAATCGAAACCTTCATAATTGTGAGTCTATCTTATCATTAATTTATTTGAAACATATTTTCCAATTGAAAACTTATTAATATTCTATTATCTGTTTTTAGGTAACAATACTGAAGAATATTAAACCTCTGCCAAGAACTTTTCAAACTTTTAAAAATTCTTTCCATGAAAATCCGAATTATGCATTACAATGCCAGAAAAGGAAGAATCACATTTCTCGTTATATCAATAATTAAATTATTCATCCATAACTTCGGATTTTAGAAATTAAAGTTTAGAGTTACCATTGCAGTGACATTCGACGGCAAAAGGTTAATTGCAAACGGAAAAGGATCATTTAAGATTATTTTTAAGATGAAAGAACGCGAGACGACAGTTTGCTCAAAAGCTCGCGAGCTAGAAAAATTCTAGGAGCCATCGCTAACAGTGATACCCCGGTAAAAGACGTGGGTGTACGCACACAGAAGAGCGCATCGCCGTCCACGTATGCACACTGCCGCACGTATGCACTGGTTGCACGTGTATGCGTCGTACCCCGCAGGATATTGGCCTAGACGCTGCGTGATTGGCCGTTCGTGTAACCAGGGACGACGATGCCTGTGCAAGTCTCTCCTCGTGTGTGCTATTCAGTGGCGTAACCGCGTGGCTTCGCATTTTTTAGCTTCCTTTTTCGAAAAAAGAGTTATTCTGTCTCCTGCAAACCGGGTTGCTTTCAATTTCGCAAAGTAGACGCGCGTAATGTGGCTCAGTAACAGCAGAGGAACCTCTGAACCGGGATCCAGGTCATTATTGACACAAATAGTGCTGGCTAATGGCAATTACTGGACCCCAATTAGTAGGCAACCGATCATCATATAAATTCTTATTTTCAGACACCGTTCCATAGAAGTCACTGTCATAAATAAGTTTCTTTCAATGGCAAATTCGCTAACTCAAAAACGACCTAAAAAATGCATCAATTCTCTTTGTTAGACTCTTCCATCACCTGAGTATCGTCCACTAGCTTAACAGCTACGTCATCAAACAACAAAAATGAAGCTCGCAATGAAATTTCGCATTCGCAAAAATCACGCGTTGGAAACAATGAAACCCTGTTCGATATTGAATTCGCTTTAATTTGCCCAAAATTTTCCTGTGTGAAAATATGCTCGCACATTGCGGCCGATAGCCAGAGCCCGTTAAGCGAATCTGCGTAATCACTTAACCGTTTCCCTGCTCGCCCGTCGGGGTACATTCTTCGAGCCGTACTGCACAAGTACTCCCTACTTATCGGCAGTACTCCATTCAGAAATCAGCCGCACAAATCTACCCGAAACATTTCGCATTAGAAGCGGCGTCCCATAGCCGCCGGTTACGCCACTGAGACGCCACTCGCGCTCTCCACGCAGCACGCACACGCAGGCACGCGGACACACAGGCGCACGAAACAGCCAGCCGTCGCGCGGACAGAGAGGGCGAAGGAGCGAGAGGCAGAGAGATAGAGCAACACACCAATACATGCACGCCCGTGGCCACCCCTATGCGAGAGTCGGGCCATGACCAGCTTGGCTGCAAGTGCTTCTTCTAAACGCACGGCTCGTCAGTGGTCGCCGAGTAGGTCGTAGGAGAGGGTTTCCGTTCGCGTTAAGAACTTCGTCCTGCTGCGGGTGTGCACTCGTATCGCAA